GATAAAGAAAGAGCGAGAGAAAATGTCAATAGAGCCTGTGGATGCTAGGGCCAGAGGTTACAGCCCAGCCTGTCACCATGGCAACCGCATCCTTCTCCGTAGACACTGGAGCCATTCGGAGCAGAGCAGCAAAATCATTTTCCCCAATTCTTACACTCTGCTGGACTGGGCAGTGATTGGTGGACACCGGCACAAATCTCCTTATGAAGCCTGCATGGTTCATCACTCCAGAGAACACATTTTCATTGCTCCAGAGTCCAGTGGCGGTGTGCTTTACACTGCTCTAGCAGAGGCTTGGCATTGCGCATACTGATCTTAGGCTTGTGTGCAGCTGCTTGACCATGAAGCTGCCGACACACAGTTCTTGTACCAGTGTTGCTTCCAGATGCAGTTTGGAGGCAACAGAGGACAGGAGATTTTTAAGTGCTATGCACTTCAGCACTCAGCTCTGTAAGTTTGTGTGAACTACAGCTTTGTAGATAAGCTAATGCACAGCTGATTAGGGCAGATCTAGCAGGACAGAAATTTCACAAACTGACTAGTGGCAAAGGTCAAATCCTATGACAGTGCCATGTTTTTGTTTGGAAAGGATTCTGTCAATGTGTGCGTGTCATATTGGCATTCTGAGTGTATGTGTGAAGTGTGAGCGAGTGGGTGGAAATCAGCTTTAGTGCTTAAGACTCAATGCTGAGGCAGCACACACGCAGCGAGAACAGACACGATTAGGCCTCCATTAGACAGGTTCGTTTGTGACCGATATGCAACAGCACTGCTCGAGAAGTGATTACTAGAGGTACATATATATACATATGAATATAATTATATGTATATATATTATATATAAAATAATCACATTAGATTTGACCATTAGTTCTAACAAGTACAGCCATCTCCCCAAAATTTTAACAGCCAATTAAAACAGAAATCAAAGGCAATAACACTGTGTATTTGCTCTTTACCTGAAGCTTACACTATGCACGCTAAATACACTCACTGATATGAAACACATAGGCTGGTGGGTAGCCCTAATACAATGCAATGAAAATACAAGTAAATGCAGTGCGTGTTTAATTGGCAGACTTGTGTTTATGTTATAAAATCATTTTCATAATGTGTAAGCCAAATTAAAAATAAATACATAAATTACTTAATTTAAAAAAGGCTGACAGTTGATCTTGTGTCACAAGTGAATACTAATCACCAAATGGTCCATATGTTTGCTCTATCTCTGTTCCCAACACACCTGAACCAAGCACAGTCAAGAACAATCAAGATGCTGGAACAGAACAAAAAGGTGGACTGTCTGGTCCTCCCTGAAGACTGGATTGGGAAATGCTGGATTACAGCCCACAGGCTTCGAGCTGAGAGCAGGTGGCAGAGCACACATAATTTAGAATGATCCCAGTTAATGAAACGGAACATGAAACATGAAAACAGGTGTAGCACTGCTTCCCCTCATCTATTTCACCTCCCAATAAATACTAATCACTTTCGAGGGCTTTACATTTTTTCCTCTTTCAGTGGAAAAAAGATAATGTCCATGTTGATACATGTAGGTTTTGTGTGCACTGTGTTCTGACATGTAATGGACCAGCAAGAGAGTTCCTGCCATACTGCATGAGGTTCAAGCTCTTCTCAAATTGCTTCAGACCTGCTGTAAACTCAGGAGAGCATATCTCTGGGTTCCTTACATAAGCAGAGGGGCCTGCTGAATTTAAAGTCTTATTGTCAGTGCTTACTCCCACCAATGAGTAAGAATGAAAAGCCACATTTGCAGTAGAGATGAATGATACTAAGGGGGATATAAAATCACACTGTGATAAATAATACAAAAATGTACTTATATAAATTATCCCTAAATGGTTAATTATCAGAGCTAATGATCACAATAGCAATGGAAATTGTATGTTGTGAGGTTGAATCGAGGCATTAGTTTAGGACGGTGCTTAGGGCTGGACGACAAAATACAACACTGTTGTTCTACTGCTATTTATTGTGATGGCAACATAAGTTCTATAATAGTGAAAACACAATAGTGAATCCTTGAAAGGCTCTACACAATTTTTCACCAAAAATGAAATGCTTGTTGGATTATGGGAAAGCCTTGAATTATCTAAACACTCTTAATATTTGAAATCCTTCGGGAAGTTCACAGCAAATGTTTGTTAGAGGCTCATTTTTATATATATTTCTGGGATGTCCATTTTGCAAAGACTGGTGTCATTATAACGATTAAGGTATGATATATTCTACTATTTTTCATCATCACAGAATCCAGCAGTAAAACTGTGAATTTCACTCTTGCATCAAAGTACTTAGCAGCCACACTGTATGTTTACACACCGTTGTCACATTCATCTGGGCCAACATCAAGTCTTCTTTTAGGAAAGATGCTACATAAGACAGGACTTTAGACATCATCATGACTGAATGAACACTGCAGATGTGGTGAACAGACATGATTTGCAAGATGTTCTCTTACACAGCAGCTTGCCTGGATAATGGCCTGCTGATGTTGTTTCTCACCATTATGACAATCACTTTTACATATGCTAGCATACAAACCTGTCCACTATTTTCCTGTCCTTTATATTTTAACATACAGTTTATATCTCACTATGTCTTCTCTCATATATTTTGCGTATACAATGTTCTGCGCTGTTGGTGTACCTAAACTTCCCCTTTAGGGATCAACAAGGTACATTTATCTATCTATATCACTTTAGTTTCCTGTAGTATGTAGCCATCAGAGGAAAGTATTAGAACTGGCATGACTGAACTCCTGAGAAATTGCAGGGGAAGGACTTTGTCAGTGGTGGGAACAAGTTTCTATTACTCAGTAGACACTGTCCCTTTTAGGCAGCAAATACTTTACACTTCCTTCTATACAAGTACTATATAACAGTAAAAGCACGTGAGTAGGGCTTGTGTTAAAGAAATGTCATGGGAAATACATTAGAAATATCAACATCCAAGTGCAAGTGGCCAGTATGTTACTCTAATACACATCTTCCCCAGTAAGATGCGGCATCTCGCTCCACAAATCTAAACTGTATATGACTTTTTCAGCAGAATGAGCTCTATAAGTTGCACATCAATTAACACTCCATAACCAGTACAACAATTAAGGACCTTTGCAAGATGTTTTTTTTTCTGATCTAAACATCCTCTGTGTATGCAACACAGTGGTGCCAATTTGGGCTGCACGATATAGATATAAAATGTGATGTCTGATAAAGCTATTGGACACCACGATGACAATAAGAGATAAAGTATCAATAAATTATTATTAAAATAGTGTGTGTCTGACTGGATATGACACAAGTACAGACAAATTTTTCAGATATGTTGCAAATACAAAAAATGAGAAATACATCAAACTTTTAAAAAAGTTTAGTACTCATTTTGATATAAATTTTTACTCATTTTGCCAGCCTTCGCTTTCATTTTTTCTATTTGCTGATTTTGCTGATACATTTTTTGCTTCTGGCATCTTTCTTTTGCTTCTGTCCTTTGGCACATTTTCCCAGGGGTGGGTCTTAGAATAGGGTTTTCACCTCCAGTACCTATTAGTCAACGTATTTAGAGCGACAGGTCTTTTGGCATGTAGCCACACCCACTCTGTGGCTCGAGAATCGCCTAAACAATGGCAGAACACGTCATACTGAGTGCGGTACTGCACTGGCATATCCAACATTATGAGCAATGTTTGTCTCATTCCTTTTAAACTGTTAAAAGAGTGATTCCTGAAGCAAAAATTATATCAGCAAAATCAGTTAATAGAAAAAAATGAAAGCATACACTAGCAAAAGAAGTAATACATTTATACCAAAATGTGTGAATATAAGTCTTTTTAAAAAATCATTTTGATTTATTTAACTTACATCAGAACTGCAAGCACATTTTTGTGCACTGAAAGGCTTAGAAACAGTCTTTTTTTATAGGCACACAAGAATTTTATTTTAATCTCATTTTATTTTAGTTTAGTTATTAAATATTGTGGCATCAGTTCACATTCAGTTTTTAAATTCATTATATCCAGTTCTACAAAGAATCTAATGCCAGATTTAGGTAAATTAAGTTTAAAAGAAACCCCCTTATGTGTGTTTCTCGACAAGGACTCTTATTCTAAGAGCGGGGGCTAGTATTAACTAGTTGTGAGAACAGTTCTAAGGTTTGATTAATTATCCTATTATTTCTCATTAAAAGGCTTTAAATTGCTTTGTTCGTTTGAGAGAGGAGGACCTCCAGGCGATATCTCTCATAGTGTTAAAATACACGCTGATGTGGTTCAAGTGTGCTCCATGTACTACTGTTAAGAGTCAACGGCCCCTCAAGGATTTTGCAGGCGGCAATGTGGTTTGCATTTCTGTGAATGGCTAAAATAACACTCTCTTTTATCTGATAATGAAGTCTGAGGGATTCCTACAAGTGTAGCAGGACTCGAACACACTAACTTAATCAGCGTAATCAGGCCTTTCGGGTAAAGGCAGCAATAAACAGTAGGTTAATAAGCACCTCGTCCAAATAAGCCTATTATCCCAGTGGCATGCTTTAACAAGTGCAATCATTACGAGTGTTTGCTGTGTGGCCCTTTCCATCCAGTCACACTTCGCTGCTTAGAGCATCATCTGCCTGGCCTGCTGTTCTACACCTCAGTGGAGCAGGTGGGGAAACAGTGGACCAGAAGCACCTGCTTTCGTGCAGAACAGCCTCTGCAGTGGGAGACTGCACTTTATTTTAGTAAATATATTTAAGGCCATCTAAGGAGCAGATTTCTGGGTTTAATTAAAGATTAAACAAAAGACAAACAAGGGGTGACTAATGAAACAAAAGCCCAGCCAAGAGATCTATCATGGATGGGGGAAACAGTCTTTGGGAAAATATGGTAATAATAAACAAAGAAACAAACAAAAGCACTTAACTGACCTTACATTTTAAAGCAACAATCCCTGTACAATTAAGTGTATAAAAGTATACAAATTAAAACAGACACCGACCTTCACATCTGACACCTTCATGCGTGTTCCTTCCTTGCCCACAAAGATGTCATCTACATCCACAAGTATGTGTCTTTCCAGAGATAGGCAGAGTCTCTTTCCTGTTAGATACACAATAGCATCTACAAAAATCAACTTATGCAGCCAGAATGAAAGGTTGTTGCCAAAGAGAACTCCCAAGTGAGCCAGGGCTTCTGATGACTTGGTGCTGGCTAACAGGACAGGTTCATAGGTGCTGTGGTTCGACTGGAAAACGGTCCAGTCATCCCCTGGCAGTGGCCCTTGCTCCACCTCGTTAGGCTTGGTGATGTAGAGCAGTGGAGCAGCAGGATTGATGCAGTAGTTCCACAGACCAAGGTTGGAGTGAAGGAAGAGCGGGAAGCCCTTGAGTGGTTTTGAAAAAGATGGCCACAAGGTGGCCACACTGTCCAAGCTCAGACTAGATGCACTCCTTAATACTAACACAAATACTAGCACCACAGGCTCTGTGAGGAAGTTATCTACTGGTTTTACTGCCCTCGGGTGACTGCCAAAAGGGGGTTGGAAAAGGGGGGCTGACTGTATCCAGTCCCCTGTGGCCACCACCTCACCGTAGTGACTTTAGGGCAACAGAGGTGCCTCCTTTATTTTGGGGCTGTTGCTGATGTAGTAAGCCAGGAAGGCCACGGAGAACAGACAGAAGATGAAGAGCACCAGGATGAGACGGTGGAACTCCAGCTGCCAGACACCTAGCAGCAGCTTCCACAGGCCCATGGCCACTGAAAAAGGGCAGGACAGGGGCAGTGGTGGGGCAAAGCAGAACCTCACAGCCAGAGGAAGAGGAAAGAGGAAAAGGATAGCCATCCTGTTTTTTTTTTTTTTTTTCCCCCCATGTATCAGCTCAGGCGTATACATAAAATTACTGCATAATTTGTGTAAATGCGCTTTAATGTCAACTAAAACTTTTAAAAGAAATGAGGCCATGCTTTTGTAAATGGAAGAATCAAAACCATTAAATGAGGACAGGCTTAAAGGCCGTCAGGAAGTGTGTTTAAATGAGACACCATCTGTAAAATTCTTCCACATCACCATGTGATTTTGCCATTAGTGCCCCTCCTGACATGGTCCGCCATGTACGCTCACTGGGTCAAGAGAGCTTTCTCATGGCTCCTAAAATAGCCTGTCATAACCTCCACATGCTGCCTCCCTCCCTGTACAACACTCTACAAAGATAGCATTACAGGTAGGAGAGGAAAACTCTGACCTTAAGAACACACAAACAAGGGCATCCGTAGCAGCTCATAATGTAATACTGCACATAATGTAATATGGCAAATGTAATAAAAGCCTTTTTTCCTGATAATGTAATAAAATCTTGAACCAGTCATTAATAGGATTTTTGCACATAATGTAGTAAAGGTATTACATTATGTGCTGTTTATAATATTATAAATTGAGTAACAAAAAAGTATAATGTAGTAACCTGAACACATAATGTGGTAAATAATAACAAATAATGTAGTAAAAAAATGCATAAAAAAATTGTTGCAGAATCGGAAGGAGTGCTTATAATAAAGAGTAAAGAATCTGTATAGTGAGCACAAATGATGAAGCTCCAGCATAACAAAGAGAGGCACAATATTTAGATTCTGTTCTTTCCTTTTCTTTCAGTTTGTCTGTGAGCGTAGGTTTTTATGAAGCAGGGCATGCAGTCTTAGATAAATGAAGCCTTCAATAATAACTATAATATTGCAATTATATATAATATTATAATACAATTATTACCATATTTTAATATTATAAGTTCTCTCTCTCTCTCTCTCTCTCTCTCTCTCTCTCTCTGAAAAAACTCAGTCAAAAAAAAACAAACAAAAAAAAACTGTACGACATTGCTAATTTCTGCTAGCCCTACTGTGGGATTCTAGCAGTATGTTAGCACGAAGCTAACGGCAATGCACTTTAACATTTTTTGGCTATTATAACTTTTTTTTGGCTATAAATAAGTGATCAAATCAAACTTAAATATGGCATTTTTTGAGCACAATTCCTTTATTTTCTGAAATTAACATATTGGAAAAAATAAGACATGTGCTACATTATTTATGTATATATATTGCCTATATATATATAGATATATATATATATATATATATATATGTATATATATATATACACCCACCATATATATATATATATATATATATGTATAGGCAATATGGGGTGCCCAAACCTTTGCTAAATTCAGTTCACATTCATCCCCAGTGGAAGCTTACAGTACAGTACATTGGCTCTAGACACAGAGATCACTTTTACCGCTGAGTTTCTATCCAGCTCAAGAGCAGATATTCATCTCTGTCAGTGCAGTGCACTACGGTATACAGTCCCATTTACTGAGTAGCGCTGCGAACTCTTTGGTGGTCCAGCAGCCCGTGCAAGCAGTAAAGCATTATAGAGTGGGTTCTGTGTCAGAGGCCAGCAAAAAAACGACCAAGGTGTTTCTGTGTGAGTGAATAACAGCTCACCAGAGACAGGAGAGAGAGAACGGAACAATATAAGCACTGTGTAAGCCTGCACTGCCACCATGTGGACAGAGAAATCATCATACTAAAATAAAGCAATAAAGCCACGAGAGGCCCTGCGTTACTGCGAGTTTATCACGGTGAAGTGTGTTCTTAAACCCGAGAGCGGACATGTCATGTTGTTATATACTCGCCATAAACAGTACTCCATCGCAGGGCAGACAGACAGACATACACAGTCACTCATACCTCGGGGCAATTCAGCATGTCCATTCAGCCTGACTGCATGTTTTTGGACTGTGGGAGGAAACCGGAGTACCCGAAGGAAACCCACGCAGACACGGGGAGAACAGGCAAACTCCACACAGAAATGACCCTGGTCACCCAGCCGGGAATCGAACCCAGGCCATTCTTGCTGTGAGGCGACAGCGCCACCCACTGTGACAACCATAGACCGCTGAATCAGGAGAAGAACGTCCAGAAGCTCCAATTTCTCTAGCACTCTGTGTAGGGAGTGGGGAAGCCGTTTGAGATTCAGACAGGGTTTGATGCTACTTCTGACTAAAACACGAATATTTGAAGCGTGTAAGCCATTCAAGTGACTTTCTATAGACTGTTATATTACCGTTTTATCAATTAATTAAATCGGAACTACTTCGATGCAAGTCTGTGATGTTAAATGATGAGTTGTTTAGCAGGTTAGCTAGCTGACCAGCCCAGTTCTAGAAAAGAAAAGAAGTTGTCAGATTTTAGGACTGAAACTATATGGTTTGGTGCTAAATAAGACTCGCGGTGGCAATTTGGTGACCACAAACTACTTACAAAACGAAGGTTTTTGCATTAAACAGTGCTATGTTATGATATATTCATTATTATATAACAAAAAAAAGATGGGCGAATCTCCTCATTCATTATACAGCATTCGCTACACAGTGAACTGATTTGGGCGTGACCAAAAAAACTTTTCGGACACTTCATCAGAAAACTTGTAGAGAGAGGAATTACTACCAGAGCCGGTTTATGAGGGGCCTGGCCACTTCCTACTCCCCCGTTATATCCACAACAGGACTGATAAACAGCAGAGGGCGCTCGCCTAAATGAATGGGAGTAAATGGCACTCAAGGCTAAAAACTAAAAGTTAAAATAGTTTCTAATCACTCGCCCAGAACGTGTCTTTAATTTTAGAAAGTAGAAGGATGTATTTCACTAAGAAATCTTACCTATATGTTTCCTTTTTTCTACAGCAAACGGATTTTGGGCAGCAGGAGGCGGGCTTTACTGCTAGCGTGATAATTGATTGGCGAGCGGAGCAGCTCATTGGCTGTTGGCGCTCACTGACGTCATGGACGTAGATGAGGTGCCGTTTTAAACTCCTATAACTCGAGTTTAAAAGCTCTTAAAAATATAACAGCAGTGTTAAAATGGTTTATGCTGTTTTGTGTTCAGGAAATGATCGTATTCTTTTACATTAAAAATGTTTAAGTTGTTGATTCGTTTTATTGATTTTGGAAACTACTAGCTGTCATTTAGATATTTATAAACCAAGATGACCGTCAACAATTAAAACTAAATCTACATTGCTCTATTTTACATCTGAGAAACCTCTCAGCATCTATCAGTGCAGAAGGAGATCTTTAACTAACTTTCTCATTTATCTCCAGAACTTCTTGCAATGTTTATGTTAAGTTCCTCGTCTCCTGACGAGTATTTAATTCAGCAATAACTCAGAAATTGGGCATCCGAGATGCTTTATTTTAACACTAAGAAAACGTGATAGAAAATCATTCACTATCGAATACTTATAATGCATCACACATTGGAGTATACAGAAAAACAGCAAGGCTTCACTGTATACCATAATGCAACAGTGTCTTACTAAAGCAGTAGAAGAAGCTCTGAAGGTGCATTCCAGTCGCCTTCGTAGTTTCCTGCTAAGTGGACTATACAGGGTATTCAGACATTCAAGGGTGATTTGAAACCACAGGGAGTGAAAAAGTTCAGTTAAAAGGGAACTTCAGACTTCACAGGGAGCAGTGAACAACGGTTTATCACTTCACAGAAAGCTGCAGGAAACCCAACAGTTATTTAATATCTTTTGAAGATGTATGTTTGATGATGACGCTGTAGAGGGGCTCTGAATAAAGGTTTCGTTAACTGCAGTTCCCTTAACCGACATTCCGAACTTCAGTGTACAGGGAACATAACAGCACTGCTCAGGGACCCTGTGGAATGGAACGCAGCCCAAGAGCTTGGAGGGAGGCGTCCTCAGAGTGAGAACTGAAGCACACAGCAGAGGGCGCTACACGACACTTTTATATACAAATGTAAATAAATATCTTAACTAACAAAATAACGATACTTACTAAACAGGCAATGCATATTTTACATTAAACAGTTTTACATTAAAAAACTTTTCGAGGCACAGATTGACTAAACTTATGACCGCTAGTCAGCTAAATTAGTGAATGTGTTTTCCTTGCTCACTCCACCTCAGCGTCCTCCGGTGGTCAAAATCGCTGCATTAGCGAAGTTAAAGTTCACCATGACCCTGTATCTTTCTCTGTGGTGGTTTGCTCTCATCAATGCCACAAACGCCTGTGAATAATCGAAGATGATTAACACGATTCACGTACATGAACGTATTAGGATCACAAGCAAACCTATGAGATCACAAGCAAAAACAGCTTTCCACCAAAATGTCCATATATGTGGCTGCATGCATATAAATAACAGCAGTTCCCAAAGGAATACGGAGAACGAAATTTACAGTCGAGATTTCAAACACTGCAAAGTAGTTACTATACAGTGCCCTATTTCTGTAATGGGGAGAGATTCCGAACGCATCACATGGCGTCAATACGATACCCTAAAGGAACTACATTTCTTGGTGAAGTACTTGTTTATGTAGATTACTATTAATAATAACTAAAATTATTTACTGAACAATTGTGTTTTATCTAACTTTATGTTGTCTGCCTTTTCATAAAAGCTCTGCTCTGCATTGTGCCTGAGACCCTTTGAGAAAAGTGCAGTAACGCACGGCCTCTCATGGTTTATTGCTTTAATAGACAAAAGGCAAGTTTGTGAATGAATTTTCTTTCATTGAACAGACTGAATGAGCAAAGGTCTGAAACTGATTTCTGAGCATCACCCAACAGAACAGAATGTACTTAAAGTCAACCTGAATGAGAACGAGTACTCCGCCAAGAAATGTAGATCCTTTACATTGTGGTATCGTTGCCAGGCAACCATGGA